ATGGATGGATGGATGGATGGATGGATGGTTGGATGATGGATGGATGGATGGGTGTATGGGTGTACATGTCACGGTGCATATGTGGCAGTCTGTCCTAGTTTTCTTTCTTTGGCTGTGGTAAACACTGTTACAAGAGGTTGGCATGCACATCCCAGGTCACAGCCCATCGCTGAGGGAAGTCAGAGCAAGAACTCTAGCAGGAAACTTGGAAGCAGGAACTGTGACAGAGACTATATAGGAATGCCCCTTACTGGCTTGCTCTCTACGGCTCACTATGTGAGCTTTCTTAAATAACTCAAAGCCAGGGCCACCTGCCCAGGAGTGGCATCACCCACATGGGGCTAGGCCCTCCCACATTAACCATCCATCAAGAAAACGCCCCGTAGACTTACCTACAGGCCAATCTGATGGAGGCATTTTCTCAGATGAGGTTTCATCTTCCCAGTTGACCCTAAGTTGTATCAAACTAATAAAAATAACCAGCACAACAAGGTCAGAAGTTAATTTTCAGGAGTCAGTTCTCTCCATCTACCATGTGAGTTCTGGCAATCAAATTAGGGGACAGGCACATTTACCCACAGAGCTGTCGTGCCAGCCCCAGATGCTCCATTTTAAACAAAGGAAATCACCAAAAGAAGTAAAGGATTCAAGCATATGTATGGGCATGATTCACAGCAGTGTTATTCATGGTAACAAAAGGCATTGTCCTTTGAGGAATAAATGGATACAGAAAAATGTTGTGTGTACATGTTTGTCTGAACTTGAGACTTCTCTGCTCTCTCCCTGGATTTTTACCTCCTGTTTCCCTCACTGGTCCTGTGCCACCTGCCAGGTCCAGTCTTTTCTCCTTTCTTTCATGACAAAATGTTTCATGGATTTGAAACTTGGTCCACACTCTGGACTTTTCACCGCCCATGAATGCTGAAGGCATTCCCCACAGCTTCCCATCCCCACAGCTCTACAGACCAGCTCTCACACAGTTCACAAGCATCTGTCATATGGCTACACACAACACATTCTCTTAAGTCTTGTTTTTGTAACCCCACAAAGAATTCAGTGTTAATGACTGACTCTGAGCTTTATTTAGTTTCCCAGACACATGGTTCTTGATTCATCTTGTCTTTTCTGGTTTCTTCCTTCTGTCCTCTCTATAGGTTGCCTGCTTCTGCCTGATTCCTGCATGTGGCTGCTCTCTGCAGGGTCCCCTCTCCAGTGGACTACTGCAGGGTCCCTTCTTGAATTTCCTTCCATTGCCCCCTATCTCGTTTGTCTGTGTCTCCTGGATGGTCTTGTCTCTTCTAAGACTCTCATTTCCTTTGTGGAATCTGTGCCTTGAGGCCTGCACACTCCTGGGCCCTTACACTGATGTTTCTCTTGTTTGTCATCTCCACTTGACAATTTCATAGTCACTTTAGGGTCAACACATCCAAATGAGTTGCAAATTGGTTTTCCTTTCTGGAAGTCTGTGAAGTTTCTCGTCCTAACCTCTTTAAGTTGGACAATTTGGTGGTATTAAGTACATTGACTTTACTGTGCAATCCTCATCACTATATAGTCCTAGAACTTTTTAATTACCCTAAACTGAAACTCTGTCCCATTAAATGCTCCTCGCTGTGGCCCCTTTTCAAACATGACCCGCAGAGTTCCACAGGGGGAAAGCCTGGTGCCCTGGTGGCCTAGTTTTGATGCACAGAGGCAGCGGCCAATCTAAGGATAAAGTAGAATGTATTCAGAAAGTATGGGAGGGGGCTGAGCAAGGTGAGGAGAGCAAGTCAGTAAGCAGGGCTCCTCGGTGGGCATGGCTTCAGCTCTGGCCTGACTTCCCTTGGTGACCCTGTGTTGTAAGATGACGTGAACTCTTTCTTCTCCAAGATGCTTTTGCCCATGGTGTTTATCACATGGCATTTATAGAAAGCAAACTAAAGCACTTGCATTGTTCCCCTTTTCCTAAGCCCTTCTTCCTTGGGTCATATTCCTCTATAAAGTGCCAACACATAAGGCACTGTCTTAGACTCAGCGTTCTGGGGATCCAGACATAAGTACAGGCACAGAGACCAGGAATAGTGTGTGTAGTGGGAAAGCAGGTTGTGGCATGAAATAGCATGTCAAAGGAGGCCTGATTGTGGATGGACCACAAAGGGCCTTGAGGGAGGTCAGGGAGAGAGCCAGAGCCTTCATGAGATGATTAGAGTCACACCATTCTGACTTTTACAGAGGGATGACAGGGCCTGACTCAGGCTAAGATGAGAAAAGAACCTGGCTCAGAGAAGGAAGGAACCTCCCTGTGCCCATTCCACTTGTGAACCAGAGACTGCAAAACACAAATTCTTCAGAGGATGCTCAAAAGGAACAAAGACTTCTTCATAGGGCAGAGCTAGCCAAAGAGGGCATGAGCTACCTTGCTGATCTCCCTGCCATCTGCAGTGTTCAGAAACTTGCTGGGTAACCTGGCACTGGGACATGCGAGGAACCAGGCTTCGTGTGGCTAAGTACAGGAAGGGAGGGGGAAAGACCTCAAGATGTTTTTAACCCCAAGACAGGGTACCTGAGCCAGAGAGCAAATGAGCAGCTTCAAGTCCCAGGGGATCAGTCCAGAATTAAAAGAGAACTCACAGCTTCCAGTGGAGCCTGGAGAGTTCAGCATTGCTTGTCTAATTTCATGCTACCATCGGAAACAAACGAACTCTGTCCTCCAAATGTTTTGGTTTAAATATTTTATTTGGGGCATATGAGTACAAGATCTAGGAAAATAAGTCTTGATAGGAGAAGAGGACTGCACATATTGTCATACGCTACAAAAGCAAAGATCTGGCTGTAGATAGCCCTGTTCGTTGGTTTACTTAGTCATCCAATAAAATTTTACAGAGCTCTTGTCACATGCTCAATAGAGGCAAATACAATGTTTTCCCAGCTTGTGCTACTTGGAACCTATATTCTAATGGAGATTATATCCAAGAATGAGACATTACAACAAGTCTGATGGGTGTTCTAGAAAGAAAGACTCAGTTTTGGAGACCAAGGGGCAGATTAATGTCATTGTAGCAACAGATTACCGAGGTGGGACAGGTAAGGGAGGGTCACATTCCAAGAACAGAGTGAAAAGGAAGGCAGCTGAGGAGCGGTGCATTGCCGGAGTTATGGAGAAGCCGGGGAGGTTCATCAGAGGAGATGAACTGGCAGTTTGTAAACTGGATACAAATGAAGCCGCCACTCACTTAGAGGCATTATACCAAGCCACAGAGGCAGGGTGTCAGGAGATCTGTTCTTATTCAGAGGTTTAGATGCACTGCTATTTCTTTCAAAGCTCCCTGGGGTTTCTGAAAATACAGCCAGGCCTGACAATCCCTGAAGTGACCAGAGGCCTCCGATAGACTGAGCCTGGCCTGAGGAGCCTACTACTGCACCCAGCACCCAAATAAGAACTTGCTAGAGAGGAGGTGCCCGGGATATGTGACTGGCTAGAGAAATTAATACTGTGAAAGAAGAAGTCACAGCTGGTTACTACTGTCAGAGTGAGGGCTAGACCTTATGGTGACCTCCCACATCCCTCCTGACTATGGACAGGACTGGCCCAGAGCAGTAACTGTACAGTCTCAGTAAGAGAGAGGACAAGATGCTGAGAGAGGGGAATTAATGGCCCGATAGGAACCAAGGACCATGTGGGGAAACTCAAAGAATGAGTGGCCCTCCTGTCTCCCCACCACAGACATTGTGACTTTCATTCAGAGAGAAATGGCAGGAGGACAGGACGTTGGCTACTGACAGAGACGGTGAGCAAGGGCCTCTAAGGCTCAGGGTGGGTAGCATTCCACTTCCAACTTTCACCTCTTTCCCCCAGCCTTACCCTACACTCTGTTATCAGGGGGTGCCTGATCCTATGACTGCAAACCATGCTGCACCCCATTTTGAAAAGTTGTGACATTCTGGGCACTCTCTACCAACAAGTGATTCCGTGTCTTTAATTCATCCTTTCTTGCTGAGACGCCCCATCCCTGTGGTCCAGGTGGAGAGCCTCTTTGGCAAAAATGCCAATGTGGAAAAGCCAGTCAACTGTTGTTTCAGCAAAGTCATAGGCGGCCCGGCTGTTCCCCTGTTCTGGCCATCAGCATGGCTGAGGATCTGAAGCCTGAAAACCCTCCTCTGTAGTGGAGAGTCACTCTATGCACAGCTTGCTTCCAACCCTCTCTAAATTCTGTGACAGTTCACAAGCACTGAGTGGAAGGCCCCACTGTGACGCTACCCCAGCAACCAATCATCTGTCAGCCAGGCAGACTGTGGGATCCACCTGAAGGACCGGGGCCAGGAGCTTCAAGTCCAGGGACACAAGCAAAGTCCAGTGGAGCCAACAGCTTGTGCTCCCACCACCCCACTTCAGGGGAAACCATGGTGTGCGCATGAGGCGGAGCTGTGGAGCAGGCTCACATTAAAGGCTAAGAGGTTCCTTTAAAGCTATAACTAGATGCTATGGCAGTGATGAGGACAGAGCGAGAGAATAGCAAGAGGGAAAAGTCAAGTTCATTGGCTTTAAGACCTTTTGAGATAACCTAGTGCAGTGAGATATCCACCCCCACCCCCCCCACCTGCACCTGTAGTGCTGACCATGCCTGCTTGGGCGTGGTCACAGTTGAGGATGTGATGGAGGGTAGGGCTAGGTCGGGCCCTGAACCCAGTGGTTCTCTGTTGCTTCTGGTCGGGTGACAGAGCTAGTCCTACAAGTTCCAATTTACATCGAACTCCATGGAAAGTAGTTCTATTCTGATTGCAGCAAGGGAGAAAACAAAAGTTGGGCGGTGGTGGCACATGCCTTTAATCCCAGCACTTGGGAGGCAGAAACAGGCATCTCTGTGAGTTCGCGACCAGCCTGGTTTACAAATAGCTATTTCTAAGACAGGCTCTAAAGCTACACAGGGAAACCCTGTCTCAGAAAACCAAAAAGAAGGAAGGAAGGTTGGAAGGAAGGAAGGAAGGAAGGAAGGAGGGAGGGAGGGAGGGAGGGAGGGAGGGAGGGAGGGAAGGAAGGAAGGAAGGAAGGAAGGAAGGAGGGAAGGAAGGAAGGCTGGAAGGAACTATTAGATGAGGAGAAAGCAGCTCATTCACTCATCTATCTCCCTAATCAGACATCCCTGGAGTACCTAGAAGACTTTAGAACCCTAGGTTTCTTTTGAAAAATCAACCGTCCAGCCCAGACCCTTAATTTTACAGATGGAAAAATTATGTAGATTGTCCAGGGTTCCCACTGAATCAATGACCACATCGCGTTAGAACATGCCCGGTTTTCCCAAGCCAGGTCTCACCTCATCCTTTCCCACCAACTGCCCCACCCCAAGCCTCAGACCCAGGTGGGAATCTTAGACAGAACTACGGAAGGAGAATTGCAGATAGATGATGAGCAACAGGACCGTGGCCCAAAACAAGCACCAGGGAATGGAGCAGAAGTTGCAGCCTGAGCCGGCTTCGGTCTGTGGCTTGGTGGGGCTGGGAGCACGGGAGAAAGTGTAGGTGGTCGCCTCCTCCTCCAGCAGCTTCTCGCTGGGCTTCCAGTGCACGATGCCTTCCTGGCAGGCCTCGCAGAACTCGCCACGGTGTCGCCGGTTGTCCTGTTGACTGGCCACGCGGATGCGGTAGTGACCACCACGCTCTCCATAGCACTGCTCGCGCAGACTGGTGATGAGGTTGTCCACCAGGCTTTCGATGTTCTCCTCCAGCATGCTGGACTCATCCAGCCGTGCAGTGCCGCACTCATAGCACAGCTGCTTGAACACGCGCATGCGCACCGAACCAGCGCGCTGGGCACGGTCCAGGTACATGTGGAAGAGGATGACTACATGGGGCGACTGCCAGGTGTGCCAGCACCAGGAGCAGTGGAACCTGCCAGTGAGGGAAAGAGAAAGACAGGCCCACATGGAGGGATGAAAACAAGCCAGGAAGGGGCAAGGGGATGCGGCAGCTGGCAGAAGCCATGCCCAGAGGTGGGGCAGTGTGCTGACAGTTCTCAGGGTTCATTAGCTTCCCCAGGAGGCCACCCTCCTTGCTCTTTATGAGTGCCCAAGGGACAAGAGGCGTCTCCTAGACTTGGCACCGGGCATCTAGCAGTGGTCTGCACGCTGGTTGCTTTCCAGAGACCTTGTCTCCCTTCAGTCTAGGTTCCTCAGGCCTTGTCCCTTGTCCCAAGAAACTCATTCTCCGTCTATTAAATGCCCTGGGTACATTGAGTCCTCTGCCACGCCACGTGGAAGTCTGATAGCCAAGCTGACTCTTTCTGGCCAGGAGACACACCAGCCTATCCGTCAACAATGGCTGCATGGGCTAGGCCTAAATCAGGAAAAATGAACTGTTGGCACCATCAACTATTAGCTCAGGGCCAAAGCTGATACATTCCCAAATCCTGGAAGTAGAGGTAGTGTCAGTGCAAGGTGACCCCCTCCCGCAAGGGCCAGAGTTTCCCACACTGACTGAGATCAGCCGGGGATCACAGCTCAGCTTCCAAATCTGAGGCATCCACAAAGCCGTCCCACTCTGTCCCACAAGAACCTCCAGGAAGTAGCAACCTGCTAACATTTGATGAAGGAACGCCCGCGTTTTAATTTTAGCCTTTTTGTTTATTCCTATTTTTTGCAACTATTTCTCACACTCAGTCCATACTGGGATTTAAAAATTGTCAGAATTGGAGGGGCCACAGAAATCAACCCATCATTTTGTTTCAGGACACAGCAAAGAACCATCCAGGTACACAGAGCTAGGGAGAGGCAGTCAGTACCCTGCAATGCTGACTGAAATGGATTGAATAGAACTGAGTTGACTGAGCCAAGCTAACCAGGAAGCCTTTACTTCTGACCCAGATACCTGCACCACTCAGCTGCCCTCGCTCAAGTCCCGCAATAAGTCCTAAGGTAGATCCATGGACTGGGCCCAAGGAGTAGAATGCTAGGTATTCTCAGATATTTCTGTACCTACAAATCATCCAGGGACTTTTTTAAGATCGAGGTATTGAGTCTGGACGGGGTCCCATATTCTGCAGCTCTGACAAATTAGATGTTTGCTGCTATCATCATCCCTGGAGCACAAGGTAAAGATCTCAGCTAACTCTTCATTGGGGAAAACATGGTCCAAAGAGGAAAGTGGTTTGCTCAAAAGACATGAAGCCAACAGCAGAGCCAGTTTCTAGCATGCTCTGTTGTGTCCAGCATTTTAAACCAAATCCAGCTGAGTTAACTAGGTTTACACTGAACTTCCCCAATACAAGAGCACAGATCTCTTGACTCTCAGTGGACCCAAGCCTCCCTTGTCTGAGCTTACAGATACTTTTAAAGACATTATTAAAGTCAAAAAGTGTGTAAACTGTCAAGATTCATAAATTAATAATTATATTCTGTATGTATGTATGTATGCATGTCTACCTCTTTATTTGCTAAGTAGAGACACTATCAGAACAACTCTCCTGGTGATCAGTGTAAGAACCCAAACTCAATGTCCCTTTTAGAGGCAACATGACTTCTAGTCTACAGTAGCCTAACGGTAAGACTGAAGGAGGCACTTGGTTTCTGTGTGGCCTTCTCTCTCCTCCGAGGGGCTAGAGGCCAGGGCTATCTGCAGGTCCCTCTTTCTGGGCCACTCACCTGCCTGAGGCGTGAAGTTCCAGGTACTGCTTCCAGCCAGGGGCCAACACATTGTGCTTGAGGTTGGGGTCTATGATGAAATCCCAGCTATCAGCTGGCTTCACTTCCTCTATCTTCTCGTAGAAGACTTTCTTCCACTCACCTGTGGTCACACTCTTACACATGTCCTCGTCAGTGGTGAGAGAAGGCAAACTCCACTTAATAGAGAATGTGGGGAGTGAGGGCAAGTGCAGGGCAGGACAGCGCAGTCTCCACGGTCTAAAAATCCTCATTGGCGGGACCAGGAGGAAGCAGGACCCAGCTCCCTCCTTTGTCCGCAGTGGAACCTGTTTCCAAGGCAACCAGGCAGGGTGCCAGGAGACACAACTTGGGGAGGAAAGAGTCTCTGGAAGGGTATTTCAGAACCCTAATTGCAATCTGCAGAAGCAAGGTCTCTGAGTCTAAATGATCCAAGGCAGGTTGGGGGCCTGACAAAAGGCTAGACTTCAGACCTTATCATCTTGGCCTGCAAGAGCTTGGAGAACTGATGATTTGAGTGCTGGTTCAATTTTACCTTCCTGCCCCTGGAGGCATCATCAGCACCTGGCTTCTATGGTAACCACTATGCCTTAGGGAGCCAAGGAGAAAAAGGGATGGGGAGATGTAGACTTGTTAGTAGGTAGAACCATAATATAGTCTCCTGTATACCCACCCATCTAATACCTGAAACACTGCCATTTAATATACATCATCAGAGATCTCAGAAATCACAGTGACTGTGCAGATCGGGAGTTTGGGACTTACCTTATCATATAAGTGGCAGAGCTGCTGATGACTCATTCCAACTCATTAATTCTTCTGTTTCAAACATACTGATGTGTCAGACCCTGCTTGTAACTGGATATGTAGAGGGTGATAATGATATAATGAGATCCATACTGCAAGAACCATTTGCAAGAGCAGCCACCTGTGCGCAAAGGTAAAAGCCATTGCATCACCCAGGTAGCTAGACAGGACTGCTTCCAAGTTGGTTACAGAAGAGCAGTGGATAGGAACCATCTGAGGCAGTACTACCTGCATATAGAAACCTGTAGTTTGTTAATTTTTTAATGGCAAAATAGCTCTTCTTATTCACTTTGATTCAGATCATTGGGGCTATTCAACAATGATTAAACAGAGCAGGGGTTGAGGAAGACAGGCTCGCTAACCTCATCGCAAATTTTTTCAGAACAAGGGGGAACACAAGATGGGGCCAGAAAAAGCAGATTTTAAACAGGGGTCATGGGAACAAGGAGGCAAGAAAGGCAACAAGGACCCAAGAGCTCTGACTCTGAAGGAGACCTGGGAAATGGAAAATGACTGAGCAGAGCATGGGGTGGGATGTGGGTTCATCTACTAGGATGAGCAAGTCTGCATTGGGCTCTTGGGAAACAGCTAAAACTGTGCTGGGGAACCAGGATAGAGGCTAAGTGTGTGGATAGGTTGGGAGTAAAGACAGAGTCCATCCTGGGATGGGAGGAGGTCAGCAGTTGGAACCAGGCTCAGGACCTCGTCTGGCTGATGCTGTGTCCTGAGGATGGTCGCATGAGATACTGCTCTGCTAGTCTCTGCCTTCTCCATCCTTCCTCTAAGCTTCCTGAAGGTGCCAACAAAAACCTGAGGTTCAGGAAAAGATGAATACAAGAGGGGAGCTTATTCCATCTCAAAACTGGCCAGGCAGACTGCAGTGGCTGAGCCCCACGAGACCACATCTTTCTCAGGTCAGGCATCTATGATGGAAGCCACAGCCTGCCAGCTCCTTGCTCCTGAGGACACATGGCTGGTGGGCAATGGGAACTCGGGACCTGACTCACCCTGCTTTGGGGCTACACTTATTATTTTTAGCATGTTTTTTCCTTAAAAATGCATAGGTGCTTATTTCAGAAAATTTACAAAATAAAGATGAGTTTAAACAAAGGCAATGCTCTTCAATAACATTCCTATTCAAGATGACTATTGTTAGCATTAAGATAAATACCACAGGATGTTGTGACATGTTTTATAAATAATAACATCTCATGAATATTCTTCTATATTATTATCTAGTCATATGCCCTAGGTTGCATTATGTGAGTGGGCACAATTTACATAGCCCATCTTGTTCTTGGGGCAGAAGAGCTTAGTTTAGGGAGGAGGAGTGGGAGAGGGAGCTGGGACTGACATGTGAAACATTCACGTTTCTAATTTAAATAAAAACATATGTTGAGAAAAATGGTTATGGTGCAGAGAATGTAATAAAAATTAAAATAAAAGAAAAAAGGCCTAAAAAATTCTAATTTTTCTATCAGGTACCAGACACAGTCCTCCAGGTGCTCTCAACTCTGCATGAATGACGCCCTGATGAACATTGTTTAACCTCAGTTGATTTAGCAAAGGGAAAATGAGAACACAGTGTCTTTAGTTATTAATTCATGAGTCCTGGAATAATTCATGTTCATTCGTTGTTTTGTTTTGATCCTTTATATCTTATCCATAGCTATTCTGCTGTATTTGATGAGTATCTTTTCATTATGGTAAAATGTGTCATTGTTTTATGTGAGTATATGTTTATATTTATATATTAACTTGCAACATAATAGCCACCACTAAACAACAGTAGGTGCCAGGCACTGTCCTAGATTCTTTATACATATTTGTTTATTTTGTCATTGCTGTGGCAGCAGCTTCATCTTAACCGACGTCCCTATGTAACTGAGATGGTAAAGAACCTGCCCAGGGTTCATCATTCAGTATTGGTTGAACTTGGATTTGCCTGAGTATGACTTCTTTGACCAGTGTGCTGCCTGATATAGAATCGAGAACATACTGTTTGCTGACTAAATGCGTGTGTGTCCCATCTCATCACAAAATGTGCCCATTTCAGTCTCCGAGGACTACGGATACTATAAGCCCATATCCTTTCCACAAATGCTTCATTGTGGAATACTGAGGTCACAGCTCCTCTAGAGGAGGAGAGAACAGCAAGTGATCCCCCAGGATGCAGCCTTCACTGTTGAATTTAATGAAGCAATTGCACCCACAAACCCACAATGTTCAGGGTAAATATTTCAGAGTTGAAAGAGTGATTTAGTTCAAAATCATTTTCTAAATTTGGAGCGATTCCCTAATTTGTATGTCATCCTTGCTCAGGGACCATCTTACCTTCTCTGTAAGGTCCCAATTTTAGTATATGTACTGGCGCAGTGAGCATGTAGTCTGACGTCTATATGGTACAAGTTCTGTCTATACACAACGACCCCGCAAGACCATAAACACTTGGTGCCAGGTGCTCGGGCTCAATGGAAAGAGCTGGGTGTCTGGAACTGAAACACCTCTGTTAACCCTTTTGTCAGCTAATTCTGTGACCTCATGAGTCATTTACTTTTTCTTGGTTTTGATTTGTCCAACCATTCAAAGAATTAGAGTAGGTGGAAAACATGTAGTGCCCCTGGGTACAGCCACACATGGTTTAAAGAGTTTTAGACTTAGAAACATCAATAGTTGGAGGATAAAAGTCAGATGAGGTTATGGGATGGATGAGAACGCTTCAGAAGAGGGGTACAGGGGTGCTTAGAACCAAGTGCTGACTCCTTGGAGCCTGTAGTGTAGATCCTGCCACATCAAGCCTGATGCTCTCAGCAGATGTCACTGCTAGGTTTGTACTAGAAACAGTAAGAGGAACAGAAACTAAATCTAGAACCTGTTGTGTGATAATTTGTTTGTGCTCTGACAAATAAAGCTTGCATGGAGATTAGAAGGTGGGGTTCACCACTAGTTAATCATAGAGGCCACGGTGGCTCATGCCTTTAATCCCAGCCCTTGAGAGGCTCATGCCTTTAATCCCAGCACTTGAGAGGCTCATGCCTTTAATCCCAGCACTCAGGAGGCAGAGAGAGGAAGTGATAAGGCTGAGCAGAGACAGGATCTCAGTCCCTTTTGGATGGAGGAATGGAGAGGAGACATGTAGGAAACAAGTGGTGGCAGCTACCCCCAGTTCTCTGATTTTCCAGGATTTCACCCTAATATCCAACTCCTGGTTTTTATTGATAAGACTAATTAGAATCAGACTTCAAGAACCACTAAATATTAACACTGGAAATGACTCCTAAATTCTTTGCCATATTTCCTCAAACTGTTAACTAAATCAGCACTCTTATCTCTGAATTAAGACAATCAACTCTCAAATAAATAAACTGATTTAATTAACTTCTGAAATGTGATGGAAACTGTCAGAAGTAGTAGCCACTGGCCAAGGAGAGCTGGAGGCTAGAGTAGTTCCTAGATAAACTCCTAAAGCTAAGGAAAGCTTACAACAAACACAGTCAGAATGAATCTTCTAGAAGTATTTGCAGTTGTTGCTACAATAAACATTCTGATGAAAAACAAGGATACCAAAAGTAAGAATCACCGTGTGTGTGTGTGTGTGTGTGTGTGTGTGTGTGTGTGTGTTCATTTAGCCAGCTGATGCAATCCCCATTGGCACAAATTAAGTTTAATTTGAGACCCAAGCTCGCTATGCAGAGGCCAACACAATGCACCCTTCTGTATAGCAGAGTGCTTATAATAATTTCAAAAATCTACCAAGACAAAAAGGCAAATAGAAACCACTCTGTATCTGGTCCTTGTTGAATGAGTTCTGACGCTATGGAATCCAAAGTCACAGATCACAGATTTAAATGTCTTTGAAGCCTTTGGCTTTGGTTTGGTTGTTGAGAATATGTGATAATATTTTAAGCTCACGAATGGCTTAACTAAATCCCTACTAGAAAATACAGTGATTAAAAGAAAAGAAAGAACACAATGCTCCTGACGTATTTGGCTTGACAGGAAATAAAATATGCAACTCATTATGCTGCAATTGTTTATCAAAACCCTATAAAAATAAGTATTGGAGCTGGAGAGATGGCTCAGCCATTAAAGGCTAGGCTCACAACCAAAAATATAGAAATAATTATTGTCCGTCTTAACCTAGCATGCTAATGAAAAGCGACTACCGACCAGGAGCAGTTTCCCATCCTTTTGTGACATTTGTGGAGATAAAGGTGAGTCTGAGGAAAGCTGCACCAAAGACCAAAAGTTTCTCCTGGCTGTCAGTGGCCAGGGATCAAAGGTCTAAACCTGCTTGATACCCTACAGCAAAGAATCTTCCCAACGTCCCACAGGTGATGAGTGCGGCAGTAAGCCTCTTCATGGTCTTGACTTATTTAATGATGAAGATGCAGTCATTACTCTGAATTTCCAGTTCAAATGAATCATCATGTTTCTTCCTGAGCAGAAACAGGCATTCCTTGGGGATCAAGCTGTCTACACCGTCCCAGCAAAAGCTTTGCTAGCATACTTCTGGAGCTAGCTTTATGCTTTAAAAGTGTCATTGCCTTTTCTACCCCTTAATCATTTGGGACTAGACAGAAAAAAAAACACTGTATCTTCATTGCTAATTCAGAGCATGCAGCACACCTCAGAGAATACCCCTGGAACCTGGCAAGACACTGTCACCCAGCTGGCTCCATAAATAAGCCTCCCAAAGACAGGTCCAGTGTAAAATCGGGCTGGATGCTTCAGGATGGTGGTCTATATTGTAAAACCAAGGAGTCTGAGCTGTGAAGGTCATCTGGCTATGACATCTGTCATCCCGTTGATCACCAGGCTGATTCGGCAGATCTGGCTGCGAAGGCAGGTGTCTCCTTCCTGCCTTACTACTCCATGTATACTCCTCTCAAAGCTGCACCTTCAGTTAGAGATGACGAGCTTCCTCAACAGAGACACGTCATTCTTCAGTCAACGTTATAGGAGCAGCTACATTCATCTGCTGGAGCCTCCGAGCCAGGGCTGAAGGTCCAATAACCCCATAAACTTTAGATTAGTTTCCCGTGGAGATTAGCTGCCCCTGGTGGTCTTAGGAGGACATACAGCTGACTCCCTCTCAGGATCTGACTTGTGGAGTGTCTAGGCACATTGTCAGAAGTTTTGCTGTGGTTCAACATCAGTCTCACAGTTCAGAAAACAGAAAAAAAGTTACTTTCTATCAATCCTCCAGAACTTTCTCTTCTTTTCCCAGTTCCTGTAGTGTCTCTTTTTTCAATTTTCCCCTCTACTTTCAAGGCCCTATGGCCATGAATAGACTTCCTCGTCACTGACAGTGACCACTTCACATGGGAAACTCATTCATCACCATGCTAACAAACACTGGCTCATAAGAGTATGGAAACTAAGAGGTTTTGTGGAGAGTCACAAAAGCTGGCAGCATGATTCCACTCCATGTCTAAAAGCTGGACAGCTAATAACATTAGTGGCATGAGGACAAATGTGAGAGCTACAGATGACCTAGCCCAAAGCCTCAAGAAAGAGGGCAAATCTCCCTTTGCCTTTTAGTTCTGTTTATTGCTCTGGTATGCAAAATCTACAGCCCTCAGGCTGCATGCACCCCAGAACAGCAATGAATGTGGTTCCCCCACAAAGTCACAAACTCATTTAAAACATGAGAGATAATTTTGTTATCTTTTTTTGTAACTCAATTGCTCAGTTCTAATGTGTAAACTTTGTAGATAACAATATCATATCCCGGTGTCTCAAGGTTGTAAGGCCTTCAAAAAGATTGGACGCCCATACAAACTGAGATTCCAATGTCCAACTCACTTGAACTCAACAGAAGTAATGCTTCCTTCAAACCTCCAAGGGCTACAAAATAATTACTGCATTGCTAGAAAGCACCTCTGAATCCCACTTTCTCAGTAATGAAACTGTTAACAAGAGATAACTTTGGGGCTGGAGAAATGGCTCAGTGGTTAAGAGTACTGACTGCTCTTCCAGAGTCCTGAGTTCAATTCCCAGCAACCACATGGTGGCTCACAACCATCTGTAATGAGAATTGGTGCCTTCTTCTGGCCTACAGGCATACATGCAGGCAGAATACTGTATACATAATAAATAAATCTTTAAAAAAAAGAGATAACTTTGAACTTAGTGGAAAAATAAGGACGTGTTACCACACTCACAGTCATGTCTGAGTTTGGTTTTTTCCCCTTTTTGAATGTTTTTCTTCCTAGTTTACACATAGTAATTATGCATATTATGGAGCACAGTATATATTGATAGCTATAAATTCAGACATTTGTCATTTCTTTGTATTGGTAACATTCAAATTCCTCTCCACTAGTGATTCTGAAATGGACAAATAACTGTGACCAATGGTGTTGCCCTACTGTGCCATGCTGGAAATGGTTCCTCCTCTCTGGCAGTACCATCCTGCTTCCCCTCCTCCTTCCAGAAGATTCTGCTTTTCACAGCCTTTGGTTAGGAGGATTAGAAACTATGGATGTAATTTATAACTTGTTATATTTGACATAGGCCAAAAAAGTTAAGGATTACATGCAATATGCAAATAGGGTACAAGGCATTTAAACTGCCAAGTATGTCTTCCAGTACTTGTCACATTAGGTGCCAAAGTGGTTAAGCAAAACCTGACTTGAAAAAAAATATGGAAAACAATGTTGATCTTCCAAAGACCTAATCAATTCTTTAGTGAGTGTGACGCAGAGGAGACATGAAGGGGTCACTTGTCAGCCACTCAGTTGCAAGAGTCCTCAAGTCCTGATCTTGAGGGGACCAGAGTGGAGACCTTTTGCCCTAGGACTCAAGTCTTGGTCCAGATTGACTCCAGTGTGAATGACAGACATTCCAGAGAGAGAACCCCATCCACACTTGCTAAGCAAGGCCCTTCCCTTGAGATGGGTATGGACCACACCTATCCAAAGCTTAAGAATTACAGGATGGCTAGGGCTGGAAAGAACCCTGAAGAGATGTGGGTAGCGTCAGCCAAATCAAATACCAAGGTCAGTCTTGCTGATAGCTGAAGGCTATAGCCAAGAGCAGTATGCTCTCACTCCCTCTCCAGGAGCCCTGAACTCTGCAGGAAGGGAGGGAGGAAGATGCTTTTAGACCAGATCCAAGGCCAAGGTATCTGCAGCTTTATATCTGTGTAACCATGGTGAACAGGTTCTCAAGGCCCAATCAAATAATCACTGGAGGGGAAACTGGCCAAGTGTGCACAACAATGAACCCATTAGTCACTGACATTGGAGTCCTCTTACATGACAGCAGTGCAGGGATATGTCTGAAGGCTTTGGCACCCGGAGCCTTTTCCATTTAGACTGCACTTTTACTATTTTCATTGGATATTTTCCATTGTTTGGCTCAATTACATTTTAGACA